GTGTGTGTGTGTGTGTGTGTGTGTGTGTGTGTGTGTGTGTGTGTGTGATGTTGGTTATCCTGTAACAATTTACTGTAATGTGTTAAGTACTTGTGGGAGAGTAGTCACTTGGCTGTGATTAGTGAATGTTCTTTTCATATTTTCTGACTGCAGATTTTTAAGTAAGTAATAAAAGTCACATTAAAAAGGTGAATTTGTTTATATTTTAGGCTTCGTTTATTTTATTTCTTAATATTAATCTTAAGGGTAATGCTTTGATGTCAGAAATATTTTTGGATATTCTTTGGTTATACGTCAAGGTTTTCACAATGAAATGCTTAACTGACCAATCTGTTTTCTTTTTTACTGCTCTTGTTTGTTTGTTTTTTTTTTTTTGTCATAGTGTTAATTTAAAAAAATTCTGTTCCATTTAGTTGGAATCTTAAATTATTTATTACTTCTCATTTTTAAAGGTGAAGGACTTAGTTAACAATCTTTCTCAGTCCCTATGTCTTAATTCTGTTTTCTATGACCTGCAGAGACCAAAATTAGCATATCTGGGACCTAACGCTCCTTGTGATTGCTTTGTTTATCCTAGATTTGCATTAATTTTCATCTAAACCCTTGTCTTCTGAAAGTCTAAAAGGCAAAATCTGAAGCCATTCATCTTCTTGTATCTTTAATATTACTTACCTTCCTCCTGGACTCATGTAAGATTATCCTTGCATTTGGACAGGAGGGAAAAATATTTTCCATCTACTCTCTTCTAAATTATCAGCTGAAGCTCTGCAACAAAATATAGATTAATGAACAAAAACTAACAAAGGTTTACCGTGTGCATATCTCATATATACATAAGCGAAACTCAGGGATGAGTAACTTAAAAAAGTTTGGTTAGAACTCGGATGTATATAGCAAAGGAACAAAAAATTTTTAGAGAAATGACAAGACAGAGGAACGAGACCTATAACCTCTAGGAATAGTAAATTGTGGGAGTGCAACTATATGAGAAACAAGTGGTAGTCAAAGTCTAATTGGTAAAGTTTATTATGCAGATCCGTCTGGTACCATATCCAGGCTGACAAGGATCCATTGCTGTCTTTAATGATTAACTTTCATCCTTCTTGGTACAGAGGTAAAGAGGGGCACTTTTGCAAATTTGCTTCCTACTTTTAGGAAAATAGGTGGAGGGCAGAGAGCTTTTTTTTTTTTTTTTTCCTGTTACCTATTTCTTTGCAATCGTTTTTACTCAAAATAATTCTTATGCCAAAGTGGCATTTTTTGCTCCCTGTCACATTTAGGGTCATAAAACTTGAAAATTAGAGGAAAATTTTTCTCTTTTGATATTGCTTCTAAGAAATAAATCAATGGTAAATTAAAATTAATGTATGTATGAGATTTCATATCTGAGATTTAAAAAGTAATGTGCACAGAAAAATCACATCTGTAATTACACAAAAATAAACACAGATCATGAAATACAAACAAGAGCTAAAGAGTAAAGAGGAAAAAGTGGATACAAACATATGGAAAAATTTATTCTGAAACAGTACCTGGATTTGAGAAGAAAGTTAAGTTGCTTTCTTGTATAGCATAGTAATTAAGAACATGGACTCTGGAGCCAGATACCTACATTAAAATCTATCTGACACCATTAATATCATTACGATTGGGGTCAAACAACCTCCTAAGTCTGAAATAAGTGGGGATAAAAAGAATACCTCTCTCATGGTATCATGAAAAATAAATGATTTAATAGATTTAAAGCATTTAGAATAGTGGCCTAGGAACCATAGGTATAAAGATGAATGTGACATACTTTATGTTCTTTGAGAGCTATCAGTAACTCTTATAAGCAAAATGTAAAACAGTGAAAGTTAAATGCTCGAAGATGGACAAATGATGGACAGATAGATGGGCATAGCAATGTGGTCATTAGAATATCTATTCAATAAATAAAGAAACTGAGACCCAAAGAGTTTGTGATCTCTCAGCTAGCAGGACAAGGGCTGAGATTACAACTTCTTTTGCCATCTCAAAGGAGAGGACTAAGGAGGGAGCCTTTTTTCCTCTCTGCAGCATAAGCTCAGTTTCCTTTATCTTTCTTTCTTTCTTTTTTTTTTTTTTTTCTTTGAGATGGAGTTTCACTCTTGTTGCCCAGGCTGGGGTGCCATGATGCAATCTCGGCTCACTGCAACCTCTGCCTCCTGAGTTCAAGCTGTTCTCCTGTCTCAACCTTCGAGTAGCTGGACTTATAGACACATTCCACCAAGCCCAGCTAATTTTTGTATTTTTTTATTTTCTAAAAAATAATATATTGATGGTTTTAACCTCTAAATTTAAATTTTCTTTTTCTATAGAAAAAAAACATACACACACATAGAAAGACAGTTTTTACAGTAGTTTCACACATACAAGAAAATGATGACAAGTATATTTTAAAACCATAGTTACTTTAAAATGTAGTTATGACAAAAATCATAAAATGTTTACAATTAACTTTTAGTTTGCTCTAATACCTTAGGTATTGCAAAAATAATGTACAGAACAATACTACACACTAAAATCAAAATTATAACAAAGTTTCAATAAGGATATGAATACATAAATTTCTTTAACTGTCACATTAACAGTACATAATAGCCACCTTTTACTTGTTTTTCCATGTTCATTACCAAAAGAAATTGGGTAAATACTAATTATTTGATTTAGAAGTACCTAAAAGCTTACTCCCCAAATATGTCATTTTTACTAATGGTCCACTTCAGTAACCTATAGTTACCAGAGCATTTTTGTATTTTTAGTAGAGATAGGGTTTCATCACATTGGTCAGGCTGGTCTCGAACTCCTGACCTCAGATAATCCGCCTGCCTCAGCCCCCCAAAGGGTTGGGATTACAGGCGTGAGCCACTGCACCTGGCCAAGCTCAGTTTCTTTACTTACTAGCTGCATGGTCTTTGGGAAGTTGTTGAGCTGCCCTGAGCATCTATGAAACAGAGATTATAATAGTACTTGCCTCTGAAGATTGCTGTGAGTATTAAATGAGATGATATGTATAAAGTGCTGTGCAGAGTGCCTGGCTCATAGCAAGCATTCAATAGATTTTAACCTCTATTAATAGTAACATAAATATTTTGTTTCATCTCATTTAATACAGCAATTTGGAGAGTAAATTACATGCCTGGAGACATATAGTCAAGATTACTACTATTTTTGTATCCAATTTTTGCTTCTGAATAGAGAATACAAGACAGAAACAATCAAAAATAATAAATACATAGAGATAAATACTATAATTACAAGGCAAAGTCTTCCCAGAAGAAGTAATTAATTGCAAAACGAAGTGACATGAGTTTTCCTCCTTTCTCTTTAAGCTCCCACAAGAGGCTATAAAATGCTTCAAAATACTCCATCATATGAGCCCCAGAAAAAAATTGAAGGAAAAAAACCTTTGGACAATATAGTCTATATGGAGTCCCCTGGGCAATTCCTGGCACCCAAAAGGTGTTGAATGTAAGTTGAATTGTCTCTTTATGTAAATGTTTATATTCTTCTCTTCCACAAATACCCAATATCTCCAAAGCAGGCTTGTCAACCCCAAGGTCTGAGTAATGCCAAAAAAGAAAAAAAAAATCTCTCTTTGTAGGGGTAAGTTACAGCATTCATTTGCACATAATTTGTATTAATAATAAAGCATCTAGAAATACGTGCTTTTAAGGGCTGATTTTAAAATGTCATACAGTTAAACCTCTGGAAGCTGTGAGTTTTTTTTGAAAAACGATTGTGGCCTGAATGATAATGAGTGTCACTGGCAACCAAATAACTTAGCTCTTGGAAGAAAGACTTATGATGAGAAAAATCACGATTTAGTTCTATGGTGCAGAGATGCTACTGTGTAAGCTGGTCAGTTGCTAATTCAACATGAGTTCCCTGAGGACTGGGGATGCAGAGCAACCTGCATCTGGCACTGGAGGCAGCCAGTGAAGTGTGGGATAGAACGCTGTTCAGGTGTTCAGGTTCCCATCGGAAAGACAACACATACACTCACAAGTCAACAAAATTACATTGTCCAAGGTCAATAAAAATTCTGTAATGGGGAATTACAATGTAGAATGCAATTCAGGCCAGATGAGAGGCATAAGCAGTAACTTCTTTGAGTTATAGGGACAAGAAGGCACTGAGGAACGCAAAGACCAGGGAAGGCTTCATGGAAGAGGTGAGATCTTGAGCTGACACTCAGTGGATGCTCAGCAGCAGGAGATGCATGAAAGAGCTGAGTTGCCAGGGCCATGAGAAGAGATTGCTGCTATATAAGGGGAGCAGAAAAAATAATGTTCTGCATTTGGGAGACCTACTGGGGCCTCTCTTAGTATTATCATACTATGGCTTGATAAAATTTGGTAAGTCGGGGCCTAGATTCCTCAGGGATGGTGGTTTTGATAGCCCCTCCAGGAAAGTCACCTACACTGACAGGGGCACTAGCCAAAGCTTCCTGGGGAATCTAAAACAGTGTCAGAGAAGGGGGATGATGACCATGACTTATGGCCTCAGGTCTAAATGCTACAACAGATTACTTTATTCCATGAACTTTTCCATTTATAAATTTTTTCCCAGAAATTGTAACTAACCAGAAAATGTAAGAATCTGTGACAGATGAGACAAACTTAATGTGCCCTCCCAGAGTATTTCAGGGCAGTGTTTCCAATGTCTGATTGGCTATTGGGAATACAATAACCCAGCTCCTTTGTCTTAAGACATGACCACTCCTAGGGTGTATTTTATACTTTAGAGCCTTCTGCAGAACAGGCTTCAGCTGGAGCATCTTGATAAATTATACTTCTGCTTGGGTTCTTTCCTTTCCTCTCCTGCTTCCTGTCCCCGCTTCATGTAAGGGAACGTCCTTAATATATCACTTATACTGGGAACCCCACATCAGGGTCTGCTTCTGGACCCACAAGAAACATGCATTGGATGTGGATTGAGCGAAGGTTTAAAGGATAGAGTAAGCATGCTTAATTTGCTTGGGGTGACTCTTCTCATTTAGGTAGAAAAAGAGTGACTGAACATTCTGGGAATGAGTTTGGAAATCCAGTTATTGGATGGTGTTTTTCAGAAACTTAATGAAGCTAATAAAATTCATAATTTTCTTTTATTTGCCTGCCTATCAGCTGAGACACCTTATTACACATGCAACAGCTTAGATTCATCTGAAATGTAATAGAGTCTGTCTTCTTTGTGCTACAAGAACCCATGACTTTCTACGTAGGGGCTCCATATGCCGTGGTAATATGCTTGACCTGATGTCAAGTGGGCTGAGACACAGGGAATTAATATCCTCAGGGCAGCTCTCAACTAACAACTAATAAGAAGGGTTATATTAAATATTTCAGATTTTTCACTGCTCAGAGAGAAATCTGAGGCTGTTCTACTCTATCTCCTGAAGATTGAGACCTTGCTTCCTACAGTCACATTCCCATTTAGCTTCTTTTTCTTTCTTCTCTCATTCTCCAGCCCCCTACTGATACTTCCTGGGATTCCATTCCAAATCTATTTGCAATAATCCTGCATCAGAGTCTTCCTCTGGGGGAAAAATTAAACCATGCAGTTTCCACCTCAGACGTTGTCTATTCCCCTGAGTGCCCTCTCCTTAGATGCAGTGTCTATAAGAGGCAATTCACCTATGGCACTACTCTGCAGTTTTGGGGTATGCTCCTTCCGAAGCTATTTTATACTTTGTAACTCATGTTTATGAATGTGATTAGTAAGGATACATATTTTCCTTTTTT